GGGGGGGCGGGGGGGGGGCGGGGGGACTCTGCCCACTACAAAAAAATGCACTTTTGTTCAGCTTGGGAGGGGGTATCGCACCTTCACGTTTCTTATTGGGGCGTTTCTTACGTTGTGGCCGAGATCGAGCTATTTTTCTTAGCCCTTCTTGCTTCTGTTTTTGTACAAAGTTGAGCCTTTTTTCTTACAGAATTTTATTAACTGCGGGCGCTATCTGTATTTGTACGCGAAGGGAAGGGGTGGCGAGTACCGTGAGACGCAGTACCTTCTTTCGAAGACCGTTCATTCGTTTACTCATGAAACTCAACAGAGCCGTAGAGTCAAGCCGCGGGGGGAGGTTCAGGGAACTCTTCACGATATGTGGAAGGAAAAGTCATCAGGGTAGCTTTTGGTCTCCGCCGGGACAGTGATATATATAAAGTATATATATATTTTTTTCTCCCATCATTGGACTCTGTCGTCTGCCCCTCTGGCCCCTATCCTCCACTTCTACTAGCTAGACGACCCAACCGGGGTCACATAGGAGGGGGGGGTTGGACCCCCTCCTGCGGTTCCTGCCTGAGGTATTTTCATCGCGAGAAGGCTACAGCAAATCCCTTCCCTCACGACTTACGAAGTCGATTATGGTTTACTAACAACGACCACTGCAGCGCGTCGCTTTCATCCTAGCCCAGGATTTATTTAATGAGAAAAAAACTCACTCTGTCGGGACTCGAACCCATGACCTGGTCCTTAGCAGGCTGCGAGGTTACCCACTAGACCATGTAGTCTACTGGTGTTCCTCGGTGCGACGCTGAAATACGCTCATTTTTTTTTTGTTTCACAAGAATGAGATAAATATATGTCTACTTGGACTTTCCTCCTTCTTCGGATGTCGGCTATGCAGTACATTAGTTGGCCAAGTACAAACTGGTGTACTGTANTGTAGTCTACTGGTGTTCCTCGGTGCGACGCTGAAATACGCTCATTTTTTTTTTGTTTCACAAGAATGAGATAAATATATGTCTACTTGGACTTTCCTCCTTCTTCGGATGTCGGCTATGCAGTACATTAGTTGGCCAAGTACAAACTGGTGTACTGTAGTTGTTTTTAACACGTCCCCGACTGCTGTACATCTCATTTCAAGTATTGTAAATATGTTCGACGCCAGTCGTCTCGGCGATGCTGACTTTTCGTACCACCCCCTTCCGCAACAAAAGACGCGTAGTTTGGGGTAAAGCATGCCTCCATTGGCCCCGGGGATGGTGAGCGGTTGTCCCTTAAATTGTAAGGACGCGACCCCGCTTGAAGGACGCCTTTTTTCAGGAAAAACCATGTGCGTCCTTAAAGCGGGGTCGACTACTGTATCTTCGTCGTGGAGTGATCACGCTTCAATATCGGTCCACGGGGGGGGTTGTTATCTTACACAACCAACGTTATACAGGCGCGCCAAGCGGAGCGGGTTCCGTTGCAACAACATAGCTTCTACTCTAGCAACGGCTGACGATATGGCCTGGGTGTCGTCAAGTTCGGGGCACAGAATAAGGTATCGCCGTGTGGACGAAGTGCCGCAATCGGGTGAACGTCGTCGCCACCCAAGCGGCGCAATGCCTACCCTTATCCACCGCTTATTTTTAGAAAGTAAACAAGTGAACATAACCTCACAGACTACCCGTTCGAGATAAAACCTCAGTCGAAAGGGATGTGGTGAAGTCTTTTCTGTAAGTGCATTGAAACCAACTGGAGACTACGCATATTTTTAGTTTGTGTAAGTCAACACTTAGTTATCAGTAATGCCAGTTGCTTCTTGCCGACTAAACGGCTACAACTCCCGAAACGCCGTCGATGCTCAACCAGGCGGAGCAAACATCTCCAACGATTATGCACAGCATTCCATAAGGAACACAAAGAGCAGAGGGAGAGAATAGCGTCGGGTGCAAGTCCATGCTGACACCACGGTTTGAACCCATGACATGACCCATGCAGCAATTCGGTGGCGTACTTGACTTGAGGAAGAAGGTCGCTTCGTGCGCCCCTCAATCACAAAGGAAGTCTTCCTTGCAACCCACCCAAACGTATGCTGCTCGTTCACTGCTGCTGCGTCTTCGCAATATATCATCGCTTTACCAGGAGATCTCCTTGGCCCGAGAACTAGATTCAACGACTCCTAGCTGCCGTCCTGCTGGCAATGGACAGCAATCCCGAACTTGAATCACAGGTTCGTGAGAGAGCCCAGGCACAACGAGTACCCGTCGACCAAAGGGCTTTTTTCTGGATTCAAAAGATCAACCAACGATAACAATATGCATTCCAGTTCTGCACACGTTCTCTACATCTAGTCACCTTTAAAGCCCCTGGTGGCCCTGTTGCGTCCTCCACTTGCTCAATCTTCCCCACCTCGCCCTCACCCACACGTGCTCTTCCCTCAACTTCCGAAGGATCAGTAGACTGGCTCCTCTGTGGTCGTCTTTGCTCGTTTCCCAGGGTTGTGCGGTGAATTGTTTCGCCGACTGCTGAACCCATCTTTGCTTTTGCATTCCCCCCTCCCGATCCCCATCGCGGGGCCTCCCGCGATCACTGCCAGTGTTGTCTTGTGCGCAGCACTGCTGTACTGCTCTGGGGCTTGCCAAGGTTGTAGTGTGGCAGTGGCGTTCGACGCCAACACGAAAGAGGACAATCTTAGGGGCTTTCCTGACGTCTGTGAGCTGGCTGGTCGCGGCTAAACCTTCAAGAACTTCAGACGGGACGACACGTGGTGAGTGGCTGCAGAGAGCTCCCGCGAACCGATGTTTCAAGTGTTGTTTTTTGCCTTGATTTGATGGGGAATCAGGTCCGAGGTGTGGTGCATTGTCTCTAATAGCCAAGTTTTTTTTCGTGCGCATGACTTGTGTTGTATCATCAATTCCTTCGAGGGCTTCCTTTGGTGTAGTGTGGCACGCACTCTGACTGGCTGGAGTTGGAGAGGGGTAAGAGACAACACAGGATAGAAAATGTATCTGCGTTTTAGGCTATGCAGCAGGGATCCACCCAATCCATCCTGCTGTGTCGTGGAGGGTTGCTATTTCATGCCAAGTCACGACCGGCAAGTAGTCGTGCCATCGTATGTATGGAGGAGGGCTAACGCACCTTACACTACTCGAATTAGCGTCGAAGCCATAGTCTCTGCGGGTTTTGTGCCCACCGCGTGACATACACGAATGCATATGATATGCATACATCATCGCTACATCCTGCAGACATGTTTGTTGTTGTTTCTCACGTTAGCTCTATACCGCAATGAATGGGGAGCCCGTGGTCTCAAAACCCGGCACATATTTAGTACGCCGCGGGGAAACAAAACAAAATTAGGGTACAAACCACTCGGAAAAAGAAAACAGAATGATAGAACGAAAAGAACAGGTACCGCACCGACCGTTCGAGAAAAGAGCCCTCGGAAACCGATCAAAGTAAAAGTAGACATAAAGGTAGCCTTTCGCTCACGCTATGGATTCATTGCTTATCTATCTTAGACTTACTTCTATAGGTAGAGATGGATAGAGATGGATTTATTCGAGCGAAGCGAGATTTCTAATCTTGCCTGAGAGGGCTCAGCGCAATATAGGGGCCGATGCAGGAAAAAAAGTGCGTGCGTGTGTTGTGTTCGCTTAAACTAGGTTTTAGAGTACAGGACNGTAGACATAAAGGTAGCCTTTCGCTCACGCTATGGATTCATTGCTTATCTATCTTAGACTTACTTCTATAGGTAGAGATGGATAGAGATGGATTTATTCGAGCGAAGCGAGATTTCTAATCTTGCCTGAGAGGGCTCAGCGCAAT